AAGAAAGAAAGAAAGAAAGAAAGAAAGAAAGAAAGAAAGAAAGAAAGAAAGAAAGAAAGAAAGAAAGAAAGAAAGAAAGAAAGAAAGAAAGAAAGAAAAAGAAAAGAAAGAAAAAAAAAGGAGACTAGCTTAGGCATTGCCAAGGGGTTAGAGATGGAGAGGGAGGGGGAGAAGGAGGAGGAGGGAGGTGGACGTGGGTATAAAAGCAACATGAGAGCTCCTGGTGATGATGGGACTGTTCTGTCTCTTGACTGTGGCGGTGGATACACAAATCTACACATGTGATAAAATTGCATTGTACTAAATGCACTCACACACACACACACATACACACAAATGAGTACAAGTGAAAAACTGTGGAAATCTGGGTAAGATCGGTGGATTGCATCAATGTCAGTATCCTGGTTGTGATGTTGAACTACATAGTGTTGGAAGATGTTACCATCGGGAGAAACTGGGTAAAGGGTACACGGGATCTCTCTGTATTATTTCTTACAACTTGCATGCAAATCTACTATTATCTTAAAATTAAAAGTTTAATTAAAGCAATACCAGCCTCATAGGCTTTCTGTGAGGATCAAATGAGGTAGTGTTTTGGGAAGAAAATTCATTCAGCAAATGTTTATTGACACCTCCCATCTGTCCAGGCACTGTGTGAACGCTGAGCTTCTCACAGTGAATCAAATACACAGAGTTCATGGTCTAGGAAATCGTATTCTACTGGAGAGCCACACAAAAGCGAGGTGTTATTTTTAAAAATTATCCTTAAAATTAGCGTAATATTGCTGACTAAATCAGCAGTAGAATGCGTTGAGTGTTTGCGTGTAAAGAAAATAGACTCTGAGAGATGACAAAACTTGCCAGGTGCCAGGTGGAGTGACAAGGAGGATTCGGGCCCAGATCTGAGCCCCAGGTTGTGGCTCTTCGTCTCTAGACTCGCTGCCTTCTCCACAGAAGGGTGCTGTTCTCTTTACAGAATGACCCGGTGAGGACAGCCGAAGCCGAGTGTGGGGACTTTTACAGCACTGGGGACAGAGCAACCATGGATGCAGAGGGCCACATCTGGTACCTGGGGAGGGGCGATGATGTCATCAATGCCTCTGGGTAGGTGTGGCTGACCCTGAGCCAGGAGGTGTCACCCTCACACACCTGGTGGGATCTACCTGGCCCAGACGTTACTCCATGCATTGGTGATGGGACCCTCAGCCTAATTCTGAACAGAGCCATGTCTACGGGGCCCTGGCCCGGGGGTGTCTGTGCACCTCCCCCAACCCCTGCATCCGGAAGAAATAGTCAAAATGAAGTTCAGGAAGGTCTGGAAGAACAACCATAATAAGACACCATGCAATTTAAAGAGGAAGGGAGACCTTGCTTTGACCCCTATTGGTGGGAGGAAATTATTCTCTGTGCTCCTCTGATGGGGCACAACATGTCACAGAACATAATGATGATGATGATGATAGCTAACATTTATGGAGTGCTTACTAGGTGAAAGCACTCTCCTCAGTGTTTTGTATAACCCAGTAGATGTGATTATCATGCCCATTTTACACAGGAGAAAACTGAGTCACTGACATGCGAAGTAAGTTGCGTAAAGTTTCAAAGACAGTACGGGATGCAGCCCAGCGTTGAACCAAGGTGGTCTGGCTCCCAGCCTGTTGTCCCTAACCCTTACATGATTGAGGGGAAAAAAATGACACAAGTAACAAGTTCTCTTGGTTATTTCAGGGAAATCAAGTTTGTTTTTTTATTTATTTTTAATTTTTTAATTTCTAAAACAAATGCTGACATAGTGGGGAATAGGGTGGAGAATTTTCATGAATGTTTAAGATCAAGTTTGGGGCTTCCAAGAGGTTCCATGCTGGAGGACGCTCCTGAAGCCAGGCGCCAGAGCTCTGGGAGGACAGAGCTCTCTCTCTCCTCCTACCAGAGGCAGTGAGTGAGAAGAGAGCACCTGTGCCTTGTATTTCTTAGCATGGAGCGTCCAGGTCTTCCTGCAGTGGTCCCACTACACAGCCTGTCAGAGGCCTCTGACCCCCTGTGACAGTTTCCCTCTGTCAAGTGCCAAGGGAAGATACGATCCTCCAGAACATGAAATTTGAGGGCCTGGTCACCCCAGCCCTGGCATCTGCTCAGAACCAGAGAAGGAAACTTTGATCCTGCAGGTATCGCATCGGGCCGACAGAGGTGGAGAATGCCCTGGCCGAGCATCCAGCAGTGGCTGAGTCAGCTGTGGTGAGCAGCCCGGACCCGATTCGAGGGGAGGTGAGGAAGAGGACACGGGGGTCATCGTGTCTGTGTGTGGGCACTGGGGAGGCAGGTGCAGGGGAAACTTCGAGGCCATGTCTACCCAGGACCTAGGGTGGAGAGAGGGCACAGTTAGTGTGTGTGTACACTTACACGATGTGGTCACCAGGGGGCACTGTGGCCTCATCTGTTACTGAAAATGCTGCTGCTGACATCTAACATTTAATGAGCTCCTATTATGTGCCCTCTCATTTTTCCCCCCAGTAACCTAAAGAGTTCAGGACTCTCATTATACTCTTTTATAGATAAGGAAACAGGGGCCTAAAGAAGTTAAATAAGTTGCCCAGATGGCACAGTGGTGGACCCAGAACGGGAATCAAAGCAATCTGGCTCCAGAGCGTGCATTCATTGATTCAGTAGGTGTTTACTGAGCACCTACTATGTGCAAGGCCCTGTGCAATTAAGTGGGGACATAAATAATAACCTAAGAATAATAAATTACCAACAATTATTAAATACCCACAAGGTTCCAGGCACAAAGTATACATACAACAATAGTAAAAATGATGAAGATAATGATGATGATAGGAATAATAATAAAGTTAAACTAGCCTCATGTTTTACATGTTTCATCTCATGAAATCTTGACATAAACCCAGTGAGGAATGAACCTGTACTGTCCCCGTTTCGCAGGGAAGGAAATTGAGGGTGAGAGAGGTTGAGTAACTTTCCAATCATAGAGTGGAGACTGGAGTATTGGGACTAGAACCTGGTCTGTCCTTTTCCAAAGGCTCAAGTGTCAGCTTGGTGTTTTCGCTCATTAAATAAATATTCACT